CTAAAAAAATAAATAAATAAAAATAAAAGGCAGGGCTTTCCCTTTTTTCATTAAAAAGAGAGGGTTCAGAAAGAGGATTGAGACGCCTGCTCTCTTCAGCCCACCTCTCCAGGATGTATTACATCACAAGGACTCAGGCTTGCTCTGTTTACTTGTTTAATTTATAGGCACGTGGGGAGCTGAGGACAAATGAAGACATGAAGCCACATATTCCTCAGTTATTCATTCAGCCCTACCAGGGGGCTGGGATGCTGGAAGACAGTCTGCTCGGCGGAGGAAGTAGAGATAGGAGGCTGAGGGCACCTCAGCCCCAGCCTTGGTGTAGCAGGCACTCTCTGTAGCACAGCCCCGAGTGGCAAATTTGGTGCTGAAAATACCTGGGAGAAGGATTTCAGACTAGAGTCAGGGATCCCAACCCTGTCTTCCTCATGACCCGGAAGTTCTGACCACCACCTCGTCCACCAAGTTCTATGGAGCCCCCTCCTTCCCTGGAATCGAAAAGTTTGGGCCTCTGATTCTGGGGCCCATCCTCTCCTCCAGAGATCCAGACATCCCTCACCAGCCTGCACATTGCCAGCGAAGTAGATGCAATGGGTTTCCTGGCCAACACAGCGGGCTGCCTGGGTCCCTGGGCATGTCTCCTGGAAAGGTGCGATGCAGGCAGGGCACATCAGGCCATTCTCAGTACGATTGTTCTGAGGAGCTGAGAATGAGGTTGAAGTGTAAGGCGAATAGGGACATTTAAGCCCTTTCCCCAACCTTCCAACAACCATAGGGAATACCAGGGTTGCTAATGGACGTTGCATTTTACAGGTAAGGAAACAGGCTGAGAGCGAGCAAGGTGCTTGGTCGATGTTACAGTGCGGGTCAGTAGCAAGCCAGAGCACACACCACAGGCTCTTGGGGCAGCCAGAGCTGGCACTTACGGGGCACGGAGCCACGGTTGCAGCCGTCGCTCTGACAGCAGTGCGCGTTGGATACCATGTAGTCGTTGGGGCTCATGGTAGTGGATACAAAACCCGAGTAGCAATCGCTGAACTTCATACAGGCCTTGTAGGTGTTCACCGACTGGTGGCCCTCTGCGAGATGGGGGACAACAGGGAAGGGCCCAAGCGAGGCTGGCCAACCACACCCTGGCCTCAGCCGCTGCCTCTTGGTCTCCTAACTCTAACCCCCCTGCGACTTCCTGGGGTGGTCTTTACCTACCTCCTAAAACCATACCCCCTAAACTACCTGTTGGAGGGTCTGGAGTGGTTTATTAGGTAGCCCTCCCTACCCCTTGCCATAGCCTCTAGTCGACCTTTGGTAGTCGCTTGCAGCTCCCTATTGCCAACCCCGAGTGCCTGCCTGACGTGGGCCCTTCCACTCCTCCCCGACTCATGGCCATCGCCCTTAGTGGTCTTTCTCAGGCCTCCCATGGCATCCCTATGCCTGTGTGAAGTGGTATCTTCCAGGCTTCACGACTTTGCTCCCCCAACCCCCGCCCCGTGGTCTCTTTCAACACATCCCAGGATGCTGCCCCCGCTACACTTATATCCCACTCTCAGATTCTTCCATGGGCACCCCGCAGACCTCCCATGATGGTTTCTTGCTGTCCCTCTTGGCTATCCCCAGGTCTTCCCTGAGGTGGTCTCTTTCAGTCTCTACGGCCTTCCCCCTCCCCACTATGTGGTGGTCTCTTCCAACCCAATTCAAAGGTTTCCCCTCTTCACCTCGCCGAGGGGTGGTTTTTCCCCAGCTTCCTCTTCCCCCTCCGCCAGGGTCCGTTTCCCTCCTGTATACCTGGGGAGGTCTCTTCATGCCTCTAAGGTCCTTCCCTCACCCGCCAACGCTTGCTGGGTGGGTAGGATGGCGTCTCAATCTTCTGTTCCCCTCTTCCCTTCACACCCCTTCCTGTTGGGTGGGTTTCTCCCCGCACTCACAGTTGCCTGTCATCTGTCACAGCCCTCATTCCCTCAGCAGCCTCATGATCTCCCCTCCTAGGACTAATTTCGTCTGTGCATGAACATCCCGCCCCGAGGGGTCTCGTCCATTGCTCCCTTTCTCCCATCCTTCCTCAGGTCTGGGACGGTCTCTGTCATGGAAGTCATGCCCCTCCTCTCCCTTCCGTTTTCCTCATCGGCCTCCCCCGTCCCATCGCTACTCCTCTTCACGGTGATTTGCTCCTCACTTCGGGGTTATCTCTTTCCTGATCACACCCCCCCACCCCAGCCCAGCCTCGTCCTTCTCTAACCTCTCCCCACCCCCACTCTACCTCCTGCCTGTTGGATTCTTTCTCTCTCACTACTTCTCTGTTCCCCCTCGTCCGTTCCTCTCCCGCTCCTGCCTAAGAATGTCTATCTCACCCCGCTCCTCCCCGTCTTCCTCTTTTAGACAGTCTCATTTTCAGAATCCCCGACGACAATGGTTTCTATCACATCATTCAAGTCTCTTCCCTCCGTTTCGGGATAGTCTTTCCCTTTTTCCTGCCCTCCTCGGATTTTCTTCCCACGCTCCGCCCCACTTGAGAAGCGTGTTGAATCCCCTTCGCGCGGTGGTATCTTCTACCCTGGGGTAGACCCCGCCCCCAAGGCCTGAGGCCACGCCCTCCTACTTGAGCTGGACTCCCCCACGAGGACCACGCATGCGTCCTTGCTGGCCTCGCAAATCTTCATTTTTCCGCTGCACGTGGGCCCGGAGTCCTTACACACCTCACAGATTAGCGGGCACCCTGCAGTGTAGAGGGCGGGGCTGCAGTCAGGGATGGCGTGGTCTTCGGACCATTACTTCGAGTCCAGAGGGAGATGGGGCAGGGGAGACGGAGTTTTAGGTCTTGAGGGAGGAGGGACCGGCTCTCTCTGATTTTTCATGGGCGGAGCATTGACCACTGTCCAGGGAACTGTCCATAGTGTGACAAAGAAGCCGCAGTGATGACATTAAAGCTGCTTCCAGGGGCGGGAAGCGACTCCACCACGAAGCCTGTTTATCTAATTACAAGGCTGGGGACTTTGGACGCCAGGGTCCTCTGAGAAAGCTCAGGGGCGGGGAGGGGTCCTGGCGAAGATTTCCATGGACTTTTTTGAAACTTCAGATCCAGCTGGATTTTGGATGTGGGACTGTCCTCCTTGCAGGTACCACATAGGTCTTGTAGACAATAGGAGCTCAGGCAGGGGTACCTGAGGCTGGGGTGCATCCCAGGTCAAAGAGGGAGAGTTACGACCAGAGTAGCTGAGGGATGGACTCCTTGGTTATGAGAGAGGAGGTAACGAGGGGCCCAGACACCTGTGCCCTTGGAAAAGTGAGGCTTGCCTGGATTCTTGTGTCTAAGGGAGGAGGGGGCTGGGACCTGAACTGTTTTGAATCCAGGGAGAAAGGAATCTTTCCCTCTATTTATTTATTCATTTATTTATTTATTTATTATTTTTTAAGATTTCCCTTTTCTAGTCATACTCTCATGACTTCCTAGAATTCAGATGTCTTAATTTGGGACCCTGTCATTCAGAGCTCACCAAAGCCCCCTCTCTCAAGGATCCAATCACATGAGCTTGTCTTCCCTTAGGGCCCGGCTTTTTCTTTACCCTCTGCCTCCTTCATGAGGATTCCTCCCCTTTTTCCCTTAAGGACCTTGCTGAATGCTCTCTCACAGTCCTCTCTTTCCTGAGATCCCAGGAAGGAGTCCAGGTCCCTTGTCACTTACCGAGACTCAGGAGGGTGCAGAGCAGCACGAAGGCCAGCAGAAAGGTCCCTGGTCTTGTGGAGGGCCTCATGGTGTGTGAACCCGCAGTCGTGAGTTCCCAGCCCTTATAGGAAGGCTAGGATGGGCGGGTCTGGTCCCACCTTCACCCTGCGGTGAGAAACAGCTGAGGGTGAGAAACAGCTGAGGTCAGAACCTTCAGCCCTGGCTTGGGGAGGTGGAACCAGAATCCAAAGGGATCTGGGTATCTTGTGCCAGTCCCCTCCTCCACGGGGACCTCAGGTGTCTGGGCTTCCAGCCCCCTCTTCCATCAGGACCCCAAATGTCACTTCCCTGTTTTCTCACCTTCCCACCGCCCCCCCCCCTTTTTTTTTCTCAGAGGTCGGAGTCGGGGCACCTGCTTCCCTGTGGGCGTAGAGAGGCTTCAAGGATTGGGATCACCTCTCCTCTCTCTTCCCAAGAAGGCGCCCAGAGTGGGTGGGGCCCTACCTGGGAGAGCCCGGCATGTCCAGGCTCATCCTGCGGGGACCGAGTGTCTTGTCTCCCTTCCCAGCTCCTTCGTTTGCTTGGCTCACATTTCTTCTTCTGTATTTGCACTGTCTCCAGCTCCGACCCGCCCAAGGCTGTACGTCTGGGTCTCGAGGGTACCAAACAGAGGGGTGCCTGTTAGCGACCAGAGGCGGGCGTAGTAGGAGGCAGATGCCCACAGGTCACATAATGACAAACCGAGGCATTTGTGTAAGCACTCTAGGCTGTGTGTGCGTGTGTGTATGGTTTGCGCACATGCTTTGTTTTATTTAGTACCTTGATCCACTCTCTCTTGGCCTCAGGCGTAAGGCTGAGACAGATTTCACATTTTTTTCGTGCGCGTGTGGCGGGGGGGAGGGGAAGAGTGTAGTCGCAGGAGCCGGTGCAGGGGATCGTGTTGCGGTAGGCTCCAGATTCTATGTGAAAACCCACTTAGATTTGCTGTCCTGTTTTCTAGGCTTCAGTTTAGGCCGTGACTGCGTTGTCCAATGAGAATGGCAAATTTCTTCTAAGCACCAATCCCGAAGGCCGCTCTTGTTGCTAGGCGCCCGAAAGCGGGTGACGTTAGTAACCAGGAGAAGGGGCTAAAGAGTGGTGGGGTCAGAGAGAGGCGGGGCCAGAGGAAAAGTTTGTTGCTAGGTAACTCAGCGCCTGTCTCTGGAGAGGCACGACTGAGCTTGCGCAGTGTCAACGCGAGCGCCGGCGCGCCGTGGTTTGAAAGGCCCGAGCCGCGCGCGCCTGCGCACTTAAGTCCGCCCAGGGAGGCCCCCCCCGCCCCCCCACGCCGCACGTCGCCCCCGAAACCCGGACCATTCTTAATCCTTTAGGCCAGGCGAGGCCCACGACGTTGACATGCCGGAGATCCGCCTCCGCCATGTAGTGTCCTGCAGCAGCCAGGACTCGGTGAGGAACTGGCGTAGGGAGGTTAGAAGACGTAGGGAATTAATCAGGGGGGCTCTATAAGAGCCCTTGGGGTGTAGAAGGGAACTTCGTGCAAATCTAAGGAGGGTTATGGGAGGATTTCCAAGAGGGTAATGTGAATTCTAGGAGACATGTAGAATTAGGGAACTTCTTGGCGTCTATGGAACTTCCGGAGAGAAAAGAACGTTTATGGGAGCTTCCTTGGAGAGCCCATAAGTGAAATTCCAGGAGTAATGTGGGGGAATCTCAAGGCTGGGGCAGGGGGTTGATTAACTGGGGGGACTTAAGTATGGGGGGTCGCAGAGGGCTTGGGAGGACTCAAGTGATTAATGATAGTCGGGGACCTACCTCTCATCTCTGTGCCCTAACTTTCCTTTCTCACTCTTGTCTCCAGACCCACTGTGCAGAAAACCTTCTCAAGGCAGACACTTACCGGAAATGGCGGGCAGCCAAGGCAGGGGAGAAAACCATCTCTGTGGTCCTACAGGTGATTCTACCCACCCCCTATCTCCTTCCTACTAGGAGTCTGGAGGCCCAGGGTCCAGATTCTGCTGTGAGCCAACTGGCAGTGGGTGGAGTCCCTTTCCTTTCTGGGCCTCAGATTTCCCTCACCTGGGAAATTGGCAGCACAATCCCTGTGTCCCTCAGCAGAGGAGAAAGGAGATGTAAGGACTAGACCCAGAGATGACCATAGAAATCAGTGTGTGGCCCTAGGTAGGTTGCTTCTACTTTCTGCTCCTTAGTTTCCTCAGCTGTAATGGAATGAATCATCACTGTGTATTCTGCCTCCTAAAGTCAAGGCTCAAGGCTGGAAGGTATCCAGGGAGATCATCAAAGAAAATCAACTGCATTTTACAAAGGGGGAAATTGAAGTATAGGGAGGGGAAATGAAGTGTCCAGTCTAAGCTCCCATTTCTGGGATACTGGCTGGGTTCTTTCTGAGTGTTTTTTGTACATCCTTTTACTGAATCCACACCACACCCATGTGAATTTGGAGGGAGGCAAACAGGAAAGGGTGGTTTGATCCGAGATGGCTGTAGAGTTCCAAACAGACTGTTTCTGTCAGGGATAAGAAACTGATGGGACCAGCCACCAAAAATTTTTTTAAAAAAGAAACTGATGGGAGAAGAGACCTAAATGTATTTTAAGCATCTGCCCTTCTGTAAGTGATTTCTTGGCTGTTTAACCTGCATGATCTTGATCTTCACAAGAGTAGTATGATATAGGGGTGGTTGTCACCACTAATAAATGACAGTTCTAAGACTTGAGCCCACAAGTGAGTGTTAGTGCTCTTAACCACATTGTCATTAACCACACAGTGTTCACACACTGGCTTTGATTTTGTCCACTTCTTTGGTTCTGAATGTAGAGGTGTTTGGGGCGGGATGTTGCGGGGGGCAATGCTTACATGATTGTGTGTGACACCAAACATATTCTTGGTTTTTCTCTTGCTCAGTGATTCTGAAAGAGTTTTAGGTCACAGAGCCTTTTGAGAATTAGAGAGTAGCCGAGGATTCTCTTCCCAGGAAAAATACACAGACTCCCAAATTTTTCTGACTGATTTTAGTAGTTTAAGCATCTTCTAAATCCCTAACATAATAATAATACTGACAGCTAACATTACTCAATGTTACAAGCTGCCGGTCCCCATTCTACACACCTCACATGGATTAGCTCATTGAATCCTCATATAAATTGCATGACCTGGGATCTGTTATTATCCCAATTTTACACATGAGGAAACTGAGGCCCAGAGAAGTTATGCAATTTGCTTGAGAGTCAGTCTTTTAAACTGTAGGAGATACAGGTTGCTGACTCTTTAGTCTTGGGATCTGGTTTCAAGTCCCCAGATCGCCTTCTTACTCACTCTTTGACCTCAGGTGAATTGTTTCATTTCTCTGAACCTGTTTTCTCATCTGTCCATTGGGAATAATGACATCTAAGCCCAGGGTGGTTGTGAAAATTTGATGACATAATGTCTGCAAAAGTACTCTGTCAACATGGAGGTGTTTGTAAAGGGAGGGACTCGTGTTTTTATTCTTGGGTAATGATTCTGCTAGGTTCTCTTATGATCCGGTGACCCCAGGGAAATCGTATTTGGTTCTATTACCCCAGTTGCAATGGGAGCAGAGAGAATGGAGTAGAAGAGACAGGACATTGGGGGTGAATTAGCCAGAGGGGCAAGGCACCGGATTCTTTAGCCTGGGAGAGGCTGTGGGATTATTGCAGCTGTCACCAAAATGGGAAACCAGAGAGGGAGCAGCTTGGGAGGGTGATGCATTTGGTTGGTATATCCAGGTTTGATATCTTTGGGACATCCAAGGAGTGGCATCCAGGAGGCAGTTAAGGATCAGATGTGGAGCTGGAGACAGAGGTATGGAAGTTGTAAGCACAGGGTCAGGACTTATGACTTTGGAGTAGTTGGATTCATTTGTTCATTCATTCATTCAAGAAGTATGAGGGTACTTCAAAAAGTTCCTGGAAAGATTCATATTATCTTTTTTTTTTTCAGCAGCTGGCTGGTAGGGAGATCTGAGCCCTTGACCTTGGTGTTACCAGCACCATTCTCTCATATTTTAATTCTATTTTTCCACAAACTTTTTGAAGTACTCTCATATTTATTGAGCACCTCCTATAGGCAAAGCACTGTTTTAGGTACTGGGCCTATACGACAGCAGACAACACAAGACAAAAAATATTTAGACCTGTGGAGACTTTGTATTAGTTGAGGAAGATTGACAGACAAATCAATAAGTAAAACATATGTCGCATGATGTGCCGTGGAGGAAATTAAACAATTAAGGAGATTGAGAGTGCCTCAGCTTGGGGGAGACAGTAGCAAGAAGTTTTTATTTAAATGGGGGGTAGGTGACTTTTGAGCAAAGAGAGCTACGCATATACCTGGGAAGAGACAAAGACTCGGAGGCGGGCTTGTGCCTGGCATGTTGGAGGAATAGCAGGGAGGTCAGTGTGTCTGGGGTAGAGTTAGCCAGCGGGAGAGAGGTGGGGAATGAGCCAAGTGTGGGGGAGTGGAAGCCTCCCAAAACACTTAAGGCCTGGAAAGCCATTGTAAGGACTTAAGCTTTTACTCTGGGTGAGATGGGAGCCACCAGAGAGCTCTGAGTACAGAAGGACAGGGTCCAACTTAGGTCTTCAGAGGATCCTTCTGGATCCATGTTGAGAATAAACTACAGGGGCCAACCACAGAAGCAGACAGAGCAGCGTTGCAGCCATTGTTAACTTACTCCACATCAGAGGCCCTTTGGAGAGTCTGATTGCATCTGGCAGTTGCCAATCTGTGGGAGAACTCTGAATTTACTGAATGCTAATTTTGGTTCTTTTGAAGTAACGGATAAGGCAGAAATTTGGGAGCACTAAGACACTAGGCTCATCTGTGGGCATTTCTGCTACTCTGTATTTTTCTTCTCCAAATACTATTATGCAACATCTGGATATTAACACACAGAGTTCAGCTCTCTGCTTGTGAGAGCCCCACACACTTTTTTTGTTTGCAGTGGCCACAAGAGGCTCTGTCACCAACCATCGCCTGCTCCCAGGCAGGGAATTCCACCTTCTTGGCTAACCCCGCTTGGGCTGGAGGGGTTGGCTGGGACGCAGTCTGGATATAACTCCTGTGCATCACTGGAGGTGCGTTCTTTAGAAGAAATGTTCAAGAGCAAAGTGGCTGTTGTTTGTGTTTTTTTGTTTGTTTTGTTTTGTTTGCAGCTGGCCTGTGCAGGAATCTGAACCCTTGATCTTTATGTTATAACACAGTGCTCCAACCAGCTGAGCTAACCCGCCAGCCCTTTGTTTTTTTGGTTTTTTTGACCGGTAAGCAGATCACAACCCTCAGCATGGTGTGGTCTGCACCACGCTCAGCCAGTGAGCACACTGGCCATCCCTATATAGGATCCCCTCTGTGTTCCCAGCACCATACTCTCCCGAGCGAGCCACGGGGCCAGCCCCTCATTTTTGTTTTTCAGTGATCTTCTAATTACTCAGTTTGCCACTGTGGTATTTTTATCTTTTTACTTTTTTTTTTTTAATGTGTAACGTATGTACAGCAAACCGCCTGTGTAAGTGTATAGCTCAGTGAATCCTCATAAACTGCAGCCCTATGCACTCGACACCCACATCAGTGCAGAACCTGCCCAGCCCTCAGAAGCCCCCTCATGTTCCTTCCTGCCGCTGCCCCTCACAAGGGTAACCACCGTCCTGATTTTTAACAGCATAGATTAGCTTTGCCTGGTTTTGAATTTTATATAAATGGAATATGCAGCATATACTCTTTTGTGTTCGGCTTCTCTTGCTCAACATTATGTTTCTTAGTTACATCCATGTTGTTAGATGTTGCTATAGATGGTTCATTTTCATTTCTGTACAGTATTCCATTGTGTGAAGACATTTTTTTTGGTGGCTGGCGGTATGAGGATCCAAACCCTTGACCTTGGTATTACAACATGGCACTCTAACCAACTGAGCAATCGGTCAGCCCTGGAGATAACAGTTGTGGTTTTATTAATTTTTCCTTTCAAATGGGTATTATGTGCATATAGTGCAAAATTCAAAAGGCCCAGAAGGGTCTTAAATCTCCCTTTCCCCTTGCATCCCTCCCTGCTCCCTCCGCTGCTTTTCTGTCCTGAGGCAACCACTGTTAGCAGTTTTTTGGGTGGCCATCCTGGGTCATTCTGTACACATACAAGCATATGTATCTACCCCCTCTACCCCATTTTTAAAAATACACAGTATATACACTGTTTTCCTTCCTTTTTTTTAAATTTCCCCCCAAATAATGGTGTGTCTCGTAGATCCACAGTCACTACATAAAGTTCTATCTTATTCTTTTAAATTATGCATAACATTGCATTTCATGGATGTGGAACAGTTTTTTAAACAAGATGTCTCTCAGGAACTTTGCCCTTCTTTGTCCCATTTGTTTTACTATCATGAATTGTATCTTCCTAAGAAGGGTGCACGTACATAAACCTGGGCCACAGATGACAGTTGTCTTGTGCTTAAGCTCTTATCCTAACATCTGTCGCTTACTGAGCATTCGCTTATATTTTTGAGATAAAATTCACATAACATAAAACTCACCATTCTACTTATTTAAAATATATATTTCAGTGGTTTTTAGTATATTGACAATGCTGTGCAACTGTCACCACTGTAATTCAAAACATTTTCATCACCCCAGAAAGAAAGCCCATAACCATTAAGCAGTCACTGCCTATTCCTCCTCCCCAGGTGCTCATGGCGACCACTGATCTACTTTCTTTCCCTATGGATTTGCTTATTCTGGACATATTATATAAAAGTATACATAGTCTTGTGACTGGCTTCTCTTACTTAGCATAATATTTTTGAGGTTCACCCATGCTGTAGTGTGTATCAGTAACTTCATTTCTCCTTATGGCTGATTAATATTCTATTAATATACCGTACAATGTTTATTCATTCATCAGTTGGGTTCTTTCTATGTACAGTTGTCCTTTGGTATCCACAGGGGATTGGTTCAGTACCCCCTCAGATGTTCAAGTCCCTAATATAAAATGGCATAGATTTGCATATATATAACCTATTATACATCCTTTTTTATTTTTATTTTTTGAGGCTGGCCAGTATGGGGATCCAAACCCTTGACCTTATTGTTATTATTATTATTATTTTTTCCTGTCAGATTTGCCTTGGCTTTATTAAAATTTTATTTATTTATTTATTTTTAATTTTAATTTATCAATATACTATGTAGTTGATTTTCATGTCCCTTAACCAGTTCCTCTTTTCCCCTCCCTCTTCTCCCTCCCCCATCAGCTGACCTTGGTGTTATAACGCTCCGCTCCACTGTAACAACTGAGCCAACTGATCAGCCCAGCTACCATATATTTGAATCATCTCTAGATTATTTATGGTAACTAATACAGTGTAAATACTGTGTAAATAGTTGTTATACTGTAATGTTTTAAAATTTGTATTATTTTTTATTGTATTATTTTTTTCTTTTAAATATTTTTTTATCCATGGTTGGTTGAATCTGCACATGCAGAACTCATGGATGTGGAACGTTTTTATCAGAAATTTTTTTATTTGTCAAGAATACCAGGGAATGCATATGTATGGGTTTAAAACAGAAGTAGTTATATATGCAATAAGAACCATTCATTTAATCCCCATACCAGCCAGCTGCCAATAAAGGAAGAAGAATCATTCATTTAAAATACAAATATCTATATCCTACCAGATATAGGCTCTATGTTTTCTGTTGTGGTAGAGGTAAAGATGTTGAGTTTTTACCTCAGGGACTAGAAGAGAAGGAATGTTGGTGTTGGACAGTGCTTTACAGTCAGGCAGCTGAGTCCAGATTGCTCTGCTAGTTATTAGCTTGTGTGACATTTTAATCTGTTGATTTAACCTGTCTTGCCTTAGTTTCTCCAGTAAAACTGGAGTAGTAACAGACTCTTCTACTTAAAGTGGTTTTGAGGATTCAGTGGTACATGGCCCAGGAAGAGCTTAGTCAAGTATGGTCAAACAGTGGCCCCCAAAAGATGTTCACATCCTAGTCCCCAGAACCTATGAGTATGTTACTTTAATGGCAAATGGACTTTGCAGGTGTGATTGAGTTAAGGATCTTGAGATGGGGAGATTACCCTAGATTATCTGGTGGGTGCATGTAATTGCAAGGGTCTTTATAAGGGAAAGAAGGAGACGAGAACCAGAGTCAGAAAAAGAGCTGTGAAATGGAAGCAAGGTTGGAGCGATGCGATTGCTGGCTTTAAAGATGGAGGAAGGAGCTACAAGCTGAGGGATGCAGGTGACCTCTAGAAGCTGGAAAAGGCAAGGAAGAGATTTTCCCCTAGAGCCTTCAGGAGGAACACAGCCTTGGTGACACCTTGACTTTAGCCCTGTAAAACCCACTTTCAGACTTCCGACTTCCAGATATGTAAGATAATAAATTTATGTTGTGTAGCCACTGGTTTGTTACAGTAGCAGTAGGAAACTAATACACTGAGCACCTGGCACACAGGGCAAATCTGAAAATGTTAGCCATGACGATCCCTTTGCGACGTACGGATACTGAGGCAAGGAACAGAGAAGTGACTCAACAAAGCCACTCAGTAAGGGAAGGCAGAGCCAGAGTTAGTCCTCAGGCAGCATTCGTTCCTTCAGCAAACAGTTGTGGGGGCTTCCCGTCCATCTGTCCATCCATCAGGAATGTACTGAAGGCCTGCTGTGGTACCAGAATTAGCAGCTGACATTTACAGAGCGCTTGCTTTGTGCGGGGCACTGTTGCAGGGACTTTGTATTACTTATCTGAATCTTCACAACAGCTTTACAAGGTAGAAGTTGTTACCATCCCCATTTTACAGGTTAGAAAACCAAAGCACAAGGGGTGAAATGAAGCCATTTGCTCTAGGATCACAGCAGTAAACAAGCAGAGCTGGGAAGGAGCAGGCACTGTTCTTGGCATTGGGGACACAGCCAGGAACAACTCAGGCACAGATAGATGTGTCTCCCCCCACAGTCTAGGCGGGGAGACAGATGCTAGATAAATACAAACAAAAAAAGGTAACTATATAATACCAAGCAGTGGTAATGAACAAAAATAAAGCCGGGGTAGGGGATAGAGAGTGGCACCTGGGAGGAGGTGAGGGGGCTACTCTGTCTGGGCTGAAGAGGTGACATCTGAGCAGAGACTGAATGATGGAAGGCTCCAGCCATGGGAAGGTTTGTGGGAAGAGTGGTTCAGGCCAGAGGAATGACAGGAGCAAAGTCCCTGAGGTGGGAAGGGGCCAGCTTGTTCTTGGGGCAGAAGGGAGACTGGCGTGGAGAGCGACCAAGTATGGCAGGAAGCTAAGAAGTCAGACTGGGACTTCTGGTTTACCTGGACGGCACCACGTGCCATCCCAAGGCCAGCACTGGGAGCAGCAGCGGGGGCAGGGGGAGTCAGCAGGGAGCCAGCTGGCTTCAGCCTATGGGAAGGCCGCTCCCTCGGCACTGCCTCTTTCTCCAGCAGATCAGTGGTGAGGTAGAGGAGCACTCGTGCACTCTGTGTGTCTGGCTCTGCCTCTTGCCAGCTGTGAAGTTACATAACTGCTTCCTGCTTGCATTTGCTCATGTGTAAAGTGGAGATAATTATAGCAGCTGCCTCGCAGAGCTGTTATGAAGAGAGTAGATGCAGATATTGCTGTCACGAGTCTGACACATCGTGAGCACTCAGATGGCTGCAATTGTTGTTGTAGTTGTTATTAATCTGTGTCATCTCAGCTCCCCTCAGAAGGAGGGTTATTGTGACCACCCTCCCTTTCACACGTGAGGAAACTGCTGCTCAGAGATGTTGGTTACCTCACCCTGGGTTGCACAACTTGGAAATGGCAGGATTGGATTTAAACCCCGGCCTGCCTCACCCCAAGTTCATTGCTCCCATGTAGGAATGTTTCTGTCTGTGGCATTGTGCAGGTGATGTCTTGGTGACCTCCTAACTGGGAAGCGATAGAGCAGAGTGGAGCTCTATAATGCTCCATAGTCCCAGGGTGGGGAGAGCAGTGGAGGATGGTGGACTAGGGACCCTTCAGGGTTGTAATAACTCATCATTCTAGAGTTCTAATAAAAGAGCCCCAAGCTAGAAGGCAGGAGACTTGCCTCATCTGTACCTAACTGCCTCCCATGTCTGCACAGCTTTCTGTACCTTCACCTGTCATGGCAGGTGAATGGCAGACCCTTTGGGTAAAGCCCTCCTACATACAGCTCTTAACTTCTTTCAACAAATAATTATCAATCATCGCCTAATAATGCTTCCTGACTGACAGTGGTTAAGCTCCTGCTATATGCCATGCCCTGTGGTCATGTTATTTGTGTGCATGATCCTAGATACAATGATCACCCACATTTTACAGATGAGGAAACTGAGGCATCAAGAGGTAAGCTGGCAAGGCCATACACCTAGGGTGCAGTAGAACTGGGATTCAAACCCAGGAATCAGTGGTGAGCAAAATGGGACAAAGCTCCTGCTCTTAGGAAGCTTCCATAGAGTCCTGTACAATTGTGGGTGAGGGTGACTTGGGCCATTTGTCTGCATGATGATTTGAATAGTTATAACTCTGTTAAGTTATAACAAGGAGAGCTCCGTGGCGACATGTTATAAACCGATCTGGTGGAGTCTGAAGAGGTCAGGTAAGGAAGTGTGTGTGGGGATGTATCATTCATTCAGTTAATATTTCGTGAGCTCCTGATCCATGCCATGCCCTGTGCCACATGCAGGGGACACAGTGGTACCATTCAGCCCTGGCCCCACTGTCACAGAGTTGACATTCCAGGGAACATGGCAGCCCAGATGGGGGTCATCCTGAGCTCCCACAGCAAGCCCAGGGCAGAGCAGGCACTGACAGTGGCCTTTCTTTCTGCCTACAGTTGGAGAAGGAGGAGCAGATACACGGCGTGGACATTGGGAACGATGGCTCAGCCTTCGTGGAGGTGCTGGTGGGCAGCTCGGCTGGAGGGACTGGTGAGCAAGACTACGAGGTAAGCAGAGCCAAGAGATGGGCCCCGTGCTGACCTCTGCCCCATGTTTCCCTGTCACTGTTTCCCCCAGGGCCTCCAGTGAGTCACACCTGACCTCTGCCCTCTGGAGGATTGCCCAGTGTGCAGAGGAGACAAAGAGCAGATGCAGGGTGATATACTTTTCACAACAGGGAAGAGACTGAGTTTCTCTTGTGGCTTAAAACAACACAGATTTATTGTCTTACAGTTCTGGAGGTCAGAAGTCTAAAATCACTCTCAGTGGACTCAAATCAAGATGTCAGCAGGATTGCTTCCTTCTGGAGGTCCTAGGGGAGAATTCTTTTCCTTGTCTATTCCAGCTTCTAGAGGCCACCTGCATTTCTTGGCTTGTCTCCCCTTCCATCATCAAAGCCAGCACCCCTGTTACTCTAATATCTGATTCCATTGCCACTTCTCTGACTCTGACTCTCTTGCCTCCTTCTTTCTCATAAAGACACTTGTAATGACAATGGGCCCACCTTGATAATTCAGGATAATCTCCCCTATCTCAAGATCTTCAACTTCATCATATCTATAAAGTCCCTTTTGCCACATTTATGGGTCCAGAGATTAGGATGTGGACATCTTTTAAAAATTTTTTTCTATTTTTATTTATTTTTCTTTTTTCATTTTTTTTTTTTCCCTTGTTTTGTCTTTTTTCGTGTCCGGCAACAGATCGCAACCCTCAGTGTCGCGCCCGTACTGGACCGGGACCGGCAACGGGATCGCAACCCTCGGTGTTGCGCCCGCACCTCGCTCAGCCAGTGAGCGGGAACCGGTCTGTATGTGGGATCCGAACCCTCGGGCGGGAGCGCCGCCGCACTCCCAAGCAGCACACTGCAGCAGTGCGCCACCGGGCCGGCCCCGAAGTATTGTATTTCTGACTTTTACTTTTTTTTTTTTTTCAAAAGATGACCGGTAAGGGGATCTTAACCCTTGACTTGGTGTTGTCAGCACCACGCTCTCCCAAGTAAGCCACGGGCCATCCCCTGGCTTTTACACTTAGATCTCTGTTCCATCTCAAATGAATTTTTGTGTATTGTGTGAAGCAGGGGACAAGGTTCATTTTTTTTCTGTATTTTTTTTTTATATGTTTGTTGAAAATACCTTTTTTAAAAGAGACTTCCAGGCCAGCCCATGGCTCACTTGGGAGAGTGCGGTGCTGATAACCCCAAGGCCACGGGTTCAGATCCCTATATAGGGATGGCCGGTTAGCTCACTTGGGAGAGCGTGGTGCTGACAACACCAAGTCAAGGGTTAAGATCCCCTTACCAGTCATCTTTTTTAAAGAAAAAAGAGACTTCCCTTTTTGTACTGCATTGTTTTGGCTCTTTTGTTGAAAATTAATAGACCGTATATGTGTGAGTTTATTCCTGTACTCTCTTCTGTTCCATTGATGTGTGTGTTTGTCTTTATGCCATTACCACACTGTCTTAATAGTAAAAGTAAATATTGAAATCAGGTTGTGTTATATTTCCAACATTAGTCTTCTTTAGGATTCTCTTGACTATTCTTAATCCTTTGTGTTTATTTCCATATAAATTATAAAACTAACTTTTCAATGACTATTTATTTCAGACCTACAGAAAAGTTGCAAGAGTAGTACAAAGAATTTCCATATATTCTTCATTCAGATTCCCCAAAGTGGACACATATGTACATATTTTTTTCTGAACTGAGAATAAATATTGTATACATGTTTCCCCTTTATCTCTGCATACTCCTGTGAGTATTTTCGAGGCTCACCAGTTAACTCTGTTGGTTAGAGTACAGCCTTATACCACCAAGGTCATGGGTTCAGATCCCCATATTGGCCAGCCACCAAAAAAAACCAAAAACTTATCCAGTGAGTATTTTCTAAAAACAAACATTTGGGGCTGGCCGGTTAGATCAGTTGGTTACCACGTGGTGCTGATAACACCAAGATGCACGGTTTGATCCCAGTACCTGGCAGCTGCCCCCCAAATAAATAAATAAATAAATAAATAATAAAAACAAACATTTTCTTACTTGACCTTAGCATAATTATCAAACTTAGGAAATTACCATTAATATAATATTATATCATCTGACCTCAGACCTTATTCAGATTTCCTTCATTGTACCAATAGTGTTCTTTATAGCAAAAGAAAATTCAGAATCATGCATTGCACTGATTTGTCACATCTCCTCAGTTTTGTTTCATTGGGAACAGTTCCTGTGACTTTCTTTGTGTTTTGTGCCATTGATGTTTTTGAAGAGCAGAGGTCAGTGGGACAAATATCCCTCATTGTACAAAATATCTGATGTTTTCCTGTGATTAAATATAGGTTACATGCTTTTGGCTAGAATATCAGAGAAGTGATGTTGTGTTCTCTGTGCAATATACAATTGACTTTTGTATATTGACTTTGTATCTTGTGACCTTGATAAATTCACTCACTAATTCGCTTTGTTTTTTGCTTGCTGATTCTTGTTTGTGTGGATCCCTTGGGATCTTCTGTATAGACAATCATGTCATCTGTGAGTACAGACAATTTTCTTCCTTTCCAATCCTTGTTTTCTTTTTTCTTCTTCTCACCTTGTCACACTGACCAGTACCTCTAGTACACTGTCGAATAAAAGTGGTAAAAGCAGAGATCCTCACCTTGTTCCTGATCTTAGGAGGAAAGTGTTGAGACTTTGACCATTAAGTATGATGATGGCTGTAGGCTGTTCATGTTTTATAGATGACCTTTGTCAGCTTGAGGAAGTTTTTTGTTGTTGGTGGTGTTTTTGGTAGCTGGCCAGGACAGGGTTCCTTGACCTTAACACCATGGAATGGTGTTACCAGCACCATGCTCTAACCAAGTAAGCTACGCAGCCACCCCGAGGAAGTTCTTTTGTATTCCTAGTTTGTTGAGAACTTTTTTTCATGACTGTGTGTTAAATTTTATCAAGTGCTTTTTCTGCTCCACAGGGCACATTTTAACAAATGAGGTTTCCTATAACATATATATATATATATTTTTTTTTTTTCAATAGATGACCGGTAAGAGGAACTTAACCCTTGACTTGGTGTTGTCAGCACCACGCTCTCCCAAGTGAGCCACGGGCTGGCCCTTATAACAAATATTTTTATTCTCAGGGTTAGATAGGTCAACAGTCTCTGGGATATCCAAAAAAAACTTCTCTGCTTCTCTTGGCAAACAGATTTAGATCAGAATTCTACTTTATAATGATAAAAACAGAATAAGCACATTTTTAGCTAAAATTTTATCGTATCTGACATGTGGATTTGTATTCTCCTTTGCTTGTCTATCTGGCAAGATGGAATGGCTAGGACAGGGTTTTCTCTTTTCAAGGTCTGAAAACACCTAGGCCAAAAGTCTCTCATTCTTTCACAGGCACACTTCCTCCCTAATTACCTACCGAGGGTGTTGCCTTTTGGGGGATCTGAGCTCTATGCCCTGTGGTGATGGTCTTTGAGATGCTGCTCTTCCTTGCTTGGAGCCCAGGCTTCGTTTCCTGTTCTCCTTCACCACCTCATGGGGCCTTTAAAATCAAATTCTGTGGCACCCGGGATCAGCACCAGGACAGACTACCAACATCAGTGCTGTCTCCTCTGTCAGGGTCCTGCCAGGAGAGTGAAACCACACCAGTTATTTTAACAGAGGGAAAAAAAAGTTTTTTTGACCAGTGATTGGTGTGGGAATCCAAACCTGTGACCTTGGTATTAGAACACCGTGCTCTAACCCACTGAGATAACAGGACTACTAACAGAGAAAATTTAATATAAAGAATTAGTAACTGAGTAACTAGATGCTATTGGAAGACTAAGGTATGTTGAAGAAGCAATGGCAGGGAGCAGCTACCACCCTGAGGGTTGGGGGAACAAAAGAAAGAGGTTGGCCAGCCACCCCACCCCAAAAAAGAGGTTGGAATTATTGAAACACATGTTTAGAAGCTTGGAGGTGGGGCCCCCATGGAGCTCAGGCACTCAGACCCTGAGGAGGGGTTGCTCCCCTGTCAGCTGCTGCTGATGTCCAGGAGAGGGGCTGGATGTGGCTGGTTCTGCAGGTGTTGGGAGGCTGCAAACTGAATTCATCTGCTGCCATGGGAAGGAGCTACTGTAGAAGCAGAAGCGTACCTGGGATGATTTTCACAGGCTCTGCAAATGAACGAGGAGCAATTCCCTCTCCTTCCTGCAGCCTGGCAGCCTTCTTGTCTCTCCAGTTTCCCCTGTAGGCAGAGACTAATAAGGAACAGCTGGTGAAGCAGAAACGTGGTTTGCCAAGTCCCAGCCAATGTCATAGAGCTGAGCAGAGAGGGTGGGTTTGAGCTGAGAGACAAACACTTAATTGGTGCAGCTCCGCTGCCTGTTTGGATTCTGCTCTCTCATTTCTGCCCTCCACTAATTCCCCTTTGTCTCTTTGCCAACTTAGTCGTGTGTTTCCAAAAGGTGTTTGAATATTGTGCCAGGCACTGAGTATCCTCTGCTGGGAGAGTTTCTTAGGACATGTAACCTGCCATATTGCCAGATATGGAAGACTCCATAGAAGAATTTAGAGAAAGAGCATTCCTATCTGGAGGTTAAAAGGATCTCTCTGGGGCCTGTGTCAGAGCAGGAGTGACTAAAGGCTCAGAAACAAAGGTAGGGTCTAGAGATGTCAAGTCTTGAGCTGGATTCTAGTGACTCCTTGTCCCCGACTTGGACCCCCTGTCCTCTTCCCCAGCCCCAAGGAGGTGTCATCCAAACCAGCCAGCCCTGGTTCTCATTCAGTTTGCCTTCTCCCACCCAGGTCCTTCTGGTCACCTCATCTTTCATGTCCCCTTCTGAGAGCCGCAGTGGCTCAAACCCCAACCGTGTTCGCATTTTTGGGCCTGACAAGTTGGTCCGGGCAGCAGCTGAGAAGCACTGGGACCGTGTCAAAATTGTTTGCAGCCAGCCGTACAGCAAGGTACCTAGGGTGGGAGCTGGGGGTGTAGAGTCCTTGGTCCTGGGCAAGGAGGGAAATTAGGGGCCAATACTGAATCCCAGAGGGCTGGGAGGACTGGATCTGTACAGCTGGTGTCTCCATGGGGTTATGGGAAGGCTAGGTCCTTGCATTCCCTGTAAAGGGTAGGAGATCCTCTCCACAATGGGAAGCTTAGTTTTCTGGAGGGAGTCTAGGAAGGGCGAAGTGTAGCATCTCAGAGGGGAACTAGAGGAGGGAGTAGCTGACTTGTCAGAGAGGTAGTCTAGTAGAGTGGGCCTAGGAGTTAACTCATGAGATCTGGAGGCTGACCACTGGGTTCAAAGCCTGGCTATATCGCTTTGTAGCTGTGTGATCTTGGGCAAGTGACTTACCCTCTCTAGGCCTCCATATCCTGATCTTTATAGGATTGCTGTAGGTTAAGGGATGCTAAGCTGTGGTAGCAGTGGGATCCGTGAATGTAATGGCGCCACACAATAGAGGTGTACCTTTTGCCTGTGTAACTGTCCTGGGGGGTGTTTAGCCAGTCAACTGGCTTCTCTTCACAAGGTCACCCAGGGACTCAGGCTCCTCCCATCTTCTGGTTCTGCATCCAGCCAGCAGAGGGGAAAGAGCCTGGAGCATTTCTGTGTTCCAGAAGTGGCACAGAGCACTGTCTCCCCTCCATAGGAAGGGATTTGGGCCTGTGGGAGTGGATTTGCTGGAGACCCAGTGGACTTTGCAGTTGCAATGAGGGCTAAAGGAGCTAATGCCCTTAGAGCCGAGCCTGATCCAGAGTTAGAGCTCAATAATGGCTTAATATTATTATTATCATTATTGTCATTGGGGTACCTCCTTAGGCATGTGTGTCCGTAAGAGGGAAAGAGCCAGAAAGGGGTTTCTCTAAGTGGAAGAGTCTTGGGGCCAGGACTCTGTCCTCGGTCTGATTCCCGGACGCCTACTCCTCCTTTCCCAGGACTCCGCCTATGGCCTGAGTTTTGTGCGGTTTCACAGCCCCCCAGACAAAGATGAGGCAGAGGCCCCCTCCCAGGTAAGCTCTACTCGCCACCCCCCAGAGCCTTCTCCCTACCTCTTCACCCCCACCTGCCAGCAGCCCACCAGCTGCACTGACCTTGCGGGACCTTAGAAGGTGACCAAGCTTGGCCAGTTCCGTGTGAAGGAGGAGGATGAGAGTGCCAACTCCCTGAGACCAGGGGCTCTCTTCTTCAGCCGGATCAACAAGACATCCCCAGGTGAGTGTGGAAAACCTGGGTCCTGAGTGAGTAGAGAGTTGAGACCTGTACTTTTGAGTCTTAGAAAAAGGGGCTGGGGAGGGCCAGCCCATGGCTCATTCGGGAGAGTGTGGTGCTGACCAACACCAAGCCAAGGGTTAAGGTCCCCTTACCGGTCATCTTTAAAAAAAAAAAAAAAAGAAAAGAAAAAGGGGCTGGGGGCCTAGACTCTGGGGTCTGAGGAAGGAGGGGCTGGGGGCCTGGACTCCTGGGTCTGAGGGAAGAGGAAATGGGGGGCCAGGACTCCTGGATCACTGCAGGGTTTGGAGAACAACACTCTGTGTTCCATAGATAGGAGCTGAAAGGTGTCAGGGTCCAGCCTTCTCATGTTGGATTCACTTTCTCCCTTTGTAGCCACAGCCAGTGACCCGGCAGGACTCAGCTATGCAGCTGCTACACTCCAGGCCTCTAGTGCCACCTCTTCAGCCTCTCCAGTCTCCAGGGCTGTAGGGAGTACCTCCAAGGTGAGATAATCAGACCTTGGTGGGGTAGAGGAGGAGGGAAACTGAAGGCCTCAACCCGTCTGCACTCCCTCAGCCTCAGGAGTCTCCCAAAGGGAAGAGGAGGTTGGATTTGAACCAGGAAGGAAGGAAGACCCCCAGCAAACCATCAGCCCAGCTCTCGCCACCTGCCCTCAAGAGACCCAAATGTGAGCAAACTAGACCCCTTGTTCTTACAGGCACCAGTGCTCCTGTGTCCTAGGGGAGGAGGAGCTAGGGGCCTGGACTCCTGAGTCTGCAGGAAGAGTGAATGGGGATCTCTGTACTGCTGAGTCTGAGGGAGGAGGAGCTAGGGGCCTGGACTTCCTGAGTCTGCAGGAGGAGGGGCTGGGGGCCTGGATTCTTGGTTTGAGGGAAGAGGGGCTGGAGATTTAGCCCTAGTAGTGCTAACCGAATCTCTACTTTTTGGTTTCCCCAGTGCCAGCTCCCACCCAATCATCAGCCACAGCCCCAGTCCCTGCCCCAACACAGAAGGCAGTGCCAGGGAAGCCCCAGGGAGAAGGCACCAAGCCCAGGGCAGCCCGAGCTGGCCCACAGGAGCTGAGCAAGATCCTTCAGGGTGTGGTGGTGGTGCTGAGTGGCTTTCAGAACCCGTTCCGCTCAGAGCTCCGGGACAAGGCCCTTGAGCTGGGGGCCAAGTACCGGCCAGACTGGACCCCAGACAGCACCCACCTCATGTAGGCCTGTGCCCTCCTCTTCCCCATGCCTCCCACTGTTTCTCCTCCATCTCCCTCTGAATCCTCCATTTTGCTTTCTCTCTTTGTCCACTGTGTTGGTGTCTCTCTCCCTCCCTCCCTCGTCCTGTCCCTCTCCCTCTCTCCCTCTTTCTCTGCCTCTCTGCCTGTCCCCTTAGTTCTCTGTAGCCTCTGGATCTTTTTCTCTGATTTCTAGATCTCTCCGTCAGTCTCCTGTCTTTTTCAGTTTCTCCCATATCTATCTCACTCTCTTACTCATCTCCCTTTCTCCTCTCTGTTGCCCCGTCTTTCTCTTTCCCCTTTGCCCCTCAGATCATCCCTAACTGACAACCCTCAATTCTGACCCCACCAGCTGTGCCTTTGCCAACACCCCCAAGTACAGCCAAGTCCTAGGCCTCGGAGGCCGCATTGTACGTAAAGAGTGGGTGCTGGACTGTCATCGCATGCGCCGGCGGCTGCCCTCCCAGAGGTGAGCCCTCACCGTTCACACACGTGTGGCACACATGGGTACACAGACACACCAACCTTGCCCCTTATCCCTGTGCTGGGGAATGCCATGAATCTGCAGAGAAATCAGACTGGAGCCTGCTGGCAGAGAACACAGGTGGTCCCAGTGCAGAGTCAGCAGAGTTCTGAGAGGAGGCAGGCAAGGCCTGGGGGACTCCAGGTGAGGGAAGGAGGACTTGCGTGGGAGAGTCATAGGGGGCTCTGTGCAGTCTGCTTAGTGGGGAAGGAGAAGGACATTGCAGCCTGGAGGAACAGCATGTGCAAAGGCTCAGTGGCGGGAGAATGGAGCAATGAGGCCCATTTCCATGCATTCATTCAAAGCAAGTCCCTGAAGCCTCTGCTTGGTGCCAGGCAGGACTGTGCAATGTCTGGGATCCAGATGTCCTGCTGTGACCTTAAAGCCTCTCACTTTGATGAGGGGGTCAGACTTGTTATAATTCAGTATGGTGGGAGGCCCAAAGAGAGATCTGAAGTGAGCGAGGGATCTTCAAGGACAGTAAGAAGTTTGCCAGGCTGAACAGAGGCAGAGAGCATGCTGGGAAGAAGAGGCAAGGTTGGGTCAGTCTGGTGTCTGCCTGAGGGAGTTGCAAGTGGGGCTGACCTTACAGGAAGTGGCAGGAAAATGAGGCTGGGGACAGCAGAATGCATGGAAGGCTTTTGAGGTGGGCGAGGGGAGGGTCAGATCTGAGGCCTTTGTGTTGGAGACGTGAGCTGCACTTTGTGGCCCGAGTGTGTTCAGAGGTGGGGCTGCACCTGGCGTACGTGAGAGGCAATCTGCATTCTCCTCATGAGAAACTGACTTTGATTCTTAAAGGGGAAAGTTGTTTATGATTTTTCTTTTCTCTCTGAAATGGGGCATTACTTCCCCAAGACGGAGGGAAGAGGGTGTGCTCAGCTCTCCAGTGTGCGTGCCTGGGCTGACTGGGATTCACTAGGGCCTTCCTTAGCTGGGAGGGAGGTAGACTGGGAGAGAGAGCACCCTGAGTATTTAGTAAATGCCAGTGGCTGTTGCTTCCTGAATACCCTCCCCACCTCCCTCAGAGGACTTGATATGTGTTTGTCTGAGGCCCAATGCCTCCCCCAGGTACCTCATGGCAGGGCCAGGCTCAAGCAGCGAGGATGAGGGGGGCTCTCACAGCGGCAGCAGCGGGGATGAAGCCTCCAAGCTTCCCCGAAAGGTCTGACACCCCCTACCGGGTGGGAGAGGGTGTAGTGGGAGGATGACATGGGTCTGCTGTGGTACCCCGAACTGTCCACTCCTGCTTTCTGCAGGCAACCCCCATCCCTGCCTCACTCACACCCACACTGCTTATGCCCTCCTCACTGAACGGCTCTCCCTCCTCAGCACCCCCAGACCAAAACCAAGCCCCCTCAGGCAGCTGGACCCAGCCCACCCCAGAGGCCCCCAACTCCACAAGAGACCAAAGCAGCCTCACCAGGGCCCCAGGAAGATACTGACACTGAGGGGGAGCAGTCAGGTCAGAGTCTGAGGGAGGAGGAGCTGGGGGCCTGGACTCCCAGGTCTGAGGGAGGAGGGAGCTGGGGGCCTGGCCTCTTGGGTCTGAGAGAAGAGAAGGGTGGAGACTCATGCTTCCATATCTAAAGGGGAAGAGGCTCAAAGCCTGGACTTCTGGGTCTGATGGAGGCGGTGGCTGGTTCCTGGACAAATGGAGTGAAAGGAGAGGGGTGTGGGGGTTTGAATAACTGGATCTGGAGGGCAGCTGAGGTTGGGGGTTGGGGTGCCTGGGTCTGTGCTTGATGCCATACTGGGAGGGAGGGTTACCAGTCTTCCCAGAAGACAAAGCAGTGCCTTGCATTGGCTGAGCTTCTACTCGCAGGACAGAACAACAGGGCGGAAGATTCTGGGGACACTGAGGATGAGCTGAGGAGGTAAGGTTGTGGTAGGGGTGGGCCCAGCCTGGGTGTGGGGATCTGCTGTGCATGCTCACCCCTCCCCCCTGTGGCTCCCCCAGAGTGGCAGTGCAGAGAGAACAAAGGCAGTCCCCTGGCCAGGGGGAGAATGGTGAGGACCCGTACGCAGGCTCCACAGATGAGAACACAGACGAGGATCAGCCCGTTTCTCCCAGCCTGCCAGTTCCTGAGCTGCCAGGTCTGAAGTCCCTCCGTCCTTCTTGAAGTGGGGTTTTGCCCCTGTCTGTTCTCAGCTGTGACTTGCCCCAGTTGGCCCGTATGGCTGCAGCCCCCATGACTGTCTCCCTTCTACCCCCACCCGCCTCTGTGCTCTCCTAGGCTTTTCTTCTTCAGCGTCCTCTCTGTGATTTCCCTCTGTCCTCTCCCAATTTCTTGCTCAGAGCATGCCCCTTACAGCCAGGTGTGACCTCCTTTGGCATTCCACTGCAGGTGTGAGAGGCACCACCCTCATGCCAGTGTGGCACCCCCCTTGGTTCCGTTCTGTCGGTCTAGGGTGAAGCTGTGCACACCACATGACATAGGCACTGCTGTTCATCAGGACCATGGTGGTGGGAACACAGGTGTTCGCTTTAACATCATTCATTACTTGGACACAGATGCTGTATGCACAGGTGGTGTGTGTGTTTGCATTCCAATATAAAAGAATGAGAAAGAAAGGGAATGGCAGAACTCTACATGGGGTTGTGGGGTGGGGGTCATGGTAGTGAGAGCCTCTTCAGGTCAAGTCAGGGTCTGAGTGGAGGTAAGGTTTGGAGGCCGCTGGAACAGCTGTTCCCACCTGTTTCTTGTGGGTGATGGGCAGGAAAGTACTTTGATTCTCCTAAGCCCCAAAGATGTTATCAGCAAATTGATGGCCTGGAAAGTCATGTTAAAATGGAAAGAAGAAAGAGCCACGCTGAGGTCAGAGCAAGAAAAGGCACGGGTTGAAAAGGAGTGAGACAGCAAAGGGGAAGTTTCCAACCCAGGCCAAGCTAATTCAGTGGCTCTAGCCCATCTGTAGGAAACACATTGCAATAATAGTAATTGTTGTCTACTCTTAAACTAACCTCTCCAGAAGGCTCGGATGGGCCGCTGGCTGGGAACCACTGCTTGCCACTGATTCCCTCACCCAGGTGTGAACACCACTGTCCTCAGCTGCTGTGCCAGCCTCCCTGTTTTGGCTCCATGTATTCTTTCACTCCTGGCTCGTGCTTTGGAACTCTGGGGCCTCACGCTTGCCTCTTCCACCATCTCTCCTGCAGACTTCTTCCAGGGCAAACACTTCTTCCTGTATGGGGAATTCCCTGGGGACGAGCGGCGGAAGCTCATCCGATATGTCACAGCCTTCAACGGGTCAGTCTTCAGGGGGTGGGGGTGAGGAAGGGGTGATGGGGCCCGGAGAGGGCTTAGGGACATGGCAGGGGAGGGGAGGGTTGTGGGAAGTAAGGCAGTCAGGAGGATGGGGGAGGGGCACATCCAGCAGCGTGGGCACAGGCCATGGAGTCTGAGTGCCAGCCCTGCCCATGGTGCTGGGCTGTCTTGGTTGCATTGCTTCTCCTCTTTCCTATTCTCTAAAGTGAGGATCCCCACCTCCCTTCTGAAAATACCATCATGAAGATTAGCCACTGTTGTCGTGGTTGCTACAAGACTGGTACATGGAGGGCCGGCCCGTGGCTCACTCGGTAGAGTGCGGTGATGATAACACCAAGGCCATGGGTTCGGATCCTATATAGGGATGGCCGGTTCGCTCACTGGCTGAGCGTGGTGCTGACAAGACTGGTACATGGGAGGATGGAGACTCCACAGGAGTCTAGAGGAGGCATAGGTGGGGATAGAGAGAGGGCAGCCTTTGAAAATGATTGGGGAGTAAGATGTTAAGAGAGCGTATGTTGATGGCCTGACATGCCCTCTGCCTGTTTTCTTCTCTCCTGCCAGGGAGCTTGAGGACTATATGAGCGACCGGGTCCAGTTTGTGATCACAGCACAGGAATGGGACCCCAGCTTTGAGGAGGTGAGTCTTGGAGGAGCAGAGAAAGGGAGACCCTGACTTACCTTTGCATCACCTCTATCCCCATCCCCTGCTTAATTACACGTTCCCATGTGGACCTCTACCCCACCCTGCAGGCCCTGATGGACAACCCCTCCCTGGTGTTTGTGCGTCCCCGATGGATCTACAGTTGCAACGAGAAGCAGAAATTACTTCCTCACCAGCTCTATGGGGTGGTGCCGCAGGCCTGAAACATGCTTGTGTGCATGTGCGTGTACACCCACACACACACACACACACACACACACACACACGAATTTAATAAAGATGACTTGGTTTGGAGCAGCTGCCCCTCCTCTCTCAGGAGTCTCCTAGCTTTCTGACTTAAGTTTGGTGTTTGCTTCCCCTGGGCTGCCTGAAGTCTCCTGTGTTGGGTCAAGGGAAGTACAATGGGGCCCCTCCATCAGAGATCTGGTAGGGAAGGAACTTTGTCTCTTCTCCCTTGCCCCTCACCCCTGGCAAGAGGCAGGGAATTGGGAACCTGACACTCAGCGCCACCCCTCAACTTGTGCTGGCCCTCCAAGCTGTTCCTGCACCTCGGTTGTCCCTCTGTGGATTGCAGGCTGGAGGCCTGGATGCTCGTGAGGTATGTCACGCTCTTGAGGTCTCAGCTCCCCACCCCCCGTCCCCCATCAGGGATATCGCCATTTCTCCAGGGTTTTCAGAAGTAGCTGTACAACATCACGAACATGGGGTCTCCTAGCTTTCTGACTTAAGTTTGGTGTTTGCTTCCCCTGGGCTGCCTGAAGTCTCCTGTGTTGGGTCAAGGGAAGTACAATGGGGCCCCTCCATCAGAGATCTGGTAGGGAAGGAACTTTGTCTCTTCTCCCTTGCCCCTCACCCCTGGCAAGAGGCAGGGAATTGGGAACCTGACACTCAGCGCCACCCCTCAACTTGTGCTGGCCCTCCAAGCTGTTCCTGCACCTCGGTTGTCCCTCTGTGGATTGCAGGCTGGAGGCCTGGATGCTCGTGAGGTATGTCACGCTCTTGAGGTCTCAGCTCCCCACCCCCGTCCCCCATCAGGGATATCGCCATTTCTCCAGGGTTTTCAGAAGTAGCTGTACAACATCACGAACATGGGGGGTTTTTTTTGTTTTTTTTTAAAAGATGACCGGTAAGGGGATCTTAACCCTTGACTTGGTGT